CTTTATTATGGAACGAGGTGCGGAGCTATTTCTCTCAAAGTGTTGGTAATGGGACACACAAAGCAAGCAAGTCTTGTTAGAAGGCCATTCTGCGTTCTAACCTCACTTACCCTGGAGACTTTCTTCTTGTGGTAAACACTGTACTCGTCATCTTCACTAGTAGCAGCTGTAGCGAAATTCAGATTCCTGAAACAGAACATTAACATACGAACATTGCGTTCCACGCATGCAAATTATAAAATTCGTATATTTAAAACATCTGATGTGGCAAACAATCGCGTAATATTTACATCAACAGACACCTCATATATTAACTACGTAATTATATAAATTTACGACATTATTAAATAAATAAAATCTCAAATTAAGAAATAATAACGTGGTTAAATACACATTCCTCTTCATATATGTAGGTACGTAGATATAACGCGACCGAAATTAATCAAATAAAGAAATTAATGTAAGTAAACGCAGGTATTAAAATTATTATGCATAAGTTATGTATTTGAATTAAATTCTAATTTTATTAATATTCATTTAGTCTTTATATTATTTACTTTACAGGATGATAACAAAACGTTCACCCACACAAAATCATGTCAAGCACGACATACATATACAGAACAACTTCGAATACGATATTAAAAATACAATAAAATCTGGAAGAAAACATCATTTGAAATCTGATAAACATCTGACTAAAAGTTGCATTTAAGAAATTATATTTAAGTTTATATAATTTTATACACCTGAAGATGGTTCTTTTAGAACTGAAACATATCGTGTAAAAAAGTGATGATCTAATGTAAATCGAACATTTCGATAGAGAACATCATTTAATAAATTTTAAATATTTAAATGTCAATTTTAGTAATATTTTAATATTTAATAGGAATTTTATTGTGATTAGACTGACAAGACTTAAACAAATATATATTTATCACAATATGACGCAACTTTATCATCTCATTTAAATTAATGTAAAATTACATTTGTGAAGGTGAATCCGAACTACGTTCATAACCCCTTATTTCGAATTGAACCAATGTTTTCTACAACGCGATTATTCCACAATGAATCTTGAAATAATTGCAAAAACAAGCTTATATGTCAGATTTGTCCGGAGGAAAAAGAGATCTGAGTAGACTTCGTAAGCGATGGGAGGCTTATGTCGGAACACGAATTACTCCGCGTCATAATTCTTCTTATCTTCGCAGTGCAATCCTTAATTCTCGTGTAAATGTAGGCTTCTGGACATTATGTAAGGATATCATGGTTCGTACTTTGTTGTTAAGGTGTCGAAACGTGACGGGATGCGATTCAGCTGACTTCTTTGAAATGCTTACTTAACACAGCCAAAAACAGTCAACAGAAATTACGTCTGTCCGAACTTTGCACTTTGTACAACACCCGTTGCCAGATCACGGCTCGTACTAGGTAAAATAAAAAATTCCTACACTTCAGATTTCAAACACGTAAATTTTTATTTTTATTTTTCCATATTCTGACAAACAGCAGAATTCTCATATGGTTCCTGACTTATAAAATTGCTCGTATGCTGACAAGCTAATGGAAAAGGATAAAGGGGTATAAATTTCTTAATTATAATTTTAATCATAATTAAATGGGTTATTAACAGCGCAAAACAAACTCAAACAAACCAGAAAAGACTCCAAATAATTCTTGAGGTTCTGATAAAAATAAGTTTTACTAGGCTAGTCTACCTCAGTCAAAAATCAAAATACGTGCCTGATGACGGGGGTTCAGTTCACGGTAGAACAGGAGTTATTTTAATCGCTACATCCAGACCACGCGTCATTAAATACACCAAGAAATAACACTACACTTTTCCAACATCACACACATTAGAAGGAACAAAAATGTTCCATACGAAAGCGTCACATAGGACAACGCTCAAAATGGCAAAGAGAAATCATTTTGAAAGCGTCACGTACTGGAATATGATAAATTAAAACTCACCCGTCACAGTACCTGAAGATGCTCTGTTCTTCTTTATAAGGCCTGGAGGAACTGCCCTCTGTCGAGCTAAAGCTGAAATAAAACAAAACACGCAACACAGTAAACCCCTTAACCGATAAAAGTTTGCTACAATAAACTGCACTCCCTTTCACTTAGCCGACTCAGCCGACGAGGCAGATTTCGATTCACCTACCAAGGTCAGACCAAGTTTACTTCAAACTAGCGAAAGTACGAAAGAAATCCACCAGGTTATCGGTTGTCTAGACGAGATTTGAACCCGTAACCTCTCTGTTATTTACATGCCTGTTGCGTGTTTAAAATTTGTGTGTAAATTTTTAACATGTACCAAAATAATATATATATACATATATATATATTCTCGAAATTAAACGACGTAAAGTACAAAATGACAAATTTAATCAAAATTCGTTTTCATAACCTCGGTTCAATAATTCCTCAATGCATTCTCACACAATTTGGAAAAGGGGCAAAAGACATATTTTAATTCTTCTGCACGAATTCACTCGAAGTGTCAGTCCTCCCCCCCCCTCCCGCCCTCGCAATTTCAAATGTCTCTGTGAAACACGCCATGAGGACGTATGGTTGAAGGGAGAACTCCCAGTGATCTGCAGAAGCTATAGCTTGACACCAGAGTCGGCCTGGACGTGATGGCGAAGAGAAAAATTCTTGCCCCTACAGGAAATCGAACCCCGGTCGTCTAACCTGTACCCTAGTCAGCACACTAATTAAATTACCATCACATATAATCCAGCTTTAAACATAAATCACACAGATCAATACGGAATGTATCCCGAACCTAGCCTCATTGCACGAGACATATCGAGAGATATCTGCCTGCATTAAATGAACGAATCGATAGAAATCGATAGAACAGCAACATTCGACTTTTTAATTTCTCGTAGTGACACATGGACTCTGCCGCTACTTTGTGTATGGAGAAATAGTCTGGAGTCCTCTTAAAAGGTACAAGGACGAGAAACAACTTTCGGGCGTGTTCTTTCCGTCTAAAGCAAAAACTAAACTAGTTAAATCAAAGAAATTTCCAACGTACAAGCCTCTTTCCTTGAACATAACCTCTTTCAACGACTTAAAAAGATGGCTGTCTTCTGGGTCGTAGCGCCGTGTAGTAGAAGTTTACTTAAGTTTCGGGATGATGCAGGCATTAAGCATCTCTGAAACGTCGGTAACCGTCACAACCGACGCAACAACCCATGAGACAAGCCATCTTCGTACTCACCACCGTCAGAACCTGAAATCTCGACGTTTAGCAACGATTTGAAAGTCAGGAATAATTTGGGCATAGCACGATTGTTATGCTGATATTTTCGCACAAAAGTCGACTCTCGTTATACGCGCTTTCACGATCCGCGGTTTTATTTAAGTATTATAAGGAACACAAATATCAAATATCCTATCCGCGGCTCGGCTGTCAGTAGCTTAAATGAACTAAAAAGCTTGAATGTCTATTAAAATAATGAAATGGAAAGGATTTGGAAGGAAGAGGTCGTGACTTTATTAAAAGTGCTATCCCGGCATTTGCCCGGAGAGACTGAGGAAAACCAAACAAAATATCGGTCAGGACAGTCGGTCCCGGGGCAGAGATTTGAACCTAAGACCTCTCGTGTACAAAGCATGAGACTTAATAGGGTAACCACTCAGCCACAGATTCAAAAATTGCAGAAAATTTCATGAAAATTGCGTGGGGTGAAATTTTTCGTTCTGCGATACTGGGGGCAAATCATTAAATAGTGAAAATGAATTAATGACGTAACTAGGGGGGAAAGCCCGCATGTTCCATAACAAGAAATGTCCCCAAGGGGTAACACCCCAGGCCCCGAAATACGCAGTGCCTTATTTCTTATGCAGGCAACGTCGAGCCACGTCCGTCTCGTTTTTCCTACGAGGTTAGGCAACCTGCACGACCGGGGGCGGGCTATTAGTCTAAACACGTTTTTACGCAAGTGTCCTGGGATCACAATGCAACAATGACCTACGTGATGTGGCGTGAAGAACACCTTCTAACATCAATTTACTCCAAAGAGTACATCTTATACCTTTCCAATCTTGTTCAACTCCAATTTCTGAATCATTTAAAGTTGAATCAAAATCTCTGAAACCTCAATCACCTGTGTTTTCGTCATTGTTCAAAAATTAATACATCTCAATTTTAATCTCGACCTTGAAAAACTAGGTTCACAGCTTTACACGGTAAGACGCAAGCAAGTACTTAATGAGTGTTACAATTTAATATTTTTACATATTTTTATATTTAACATAAAATAAAAAATGAATGAACCATATTTAAAACCAAGACGTCTAGATTTTCGATTAAAACAGGAATATTCGTTTAGACTAAAGTAATTCCCTTTTTTTTTAAACCCACCATTACACAATTCTAGTTACAGAACACAAATTTAAAAATGGCGTCTCTTATTCCTTCTTGCCAATTTGTTACACACCTTCAATATATAAACCGCTGTCGTGAATAGACCGACCTTCTACGTCCTTGGGCCATATGGTTATCACGTGAGTCACGTGAGAGACATAGTTAAGAATTTCTTACGTGATATGTACTTCACAAGTACGTTACTTATCTCTACAAGGAGGGTTCAATGGGTGTGAACGTGACGTCATCAACAAACAAACCAATCAAATCAATAATTACCAAATTGGATGGTACTGTCCCACACGATGAATCCATTCTAATTTAATTATCTGTCTTGTCTAGACACGCATGCGCGTCTAGCCTTCCGTGGTAGATTTCGAGTGTGTATACAATACATCTTGATTACTGTTTAACGAATCGATAGCACATTTAAAACTCTTTACATCGTTAATCTGTCTGGCACAGTTCAGATTATATACTTTAACGTAATATTATGACGTTTGCTGTCGAATTTCGGTAGAAGTTGGAGTTTGAACATGAAAATGTTAAGACAACAAACAACAGTGATGAAATGTTTGGGGGTGGGGGTGGGGGGATAAGTACAGAATCCTCATTCCATCTTAATTCTTGAGAAGAAATGCTCAAGATATCTCATATGTTATTGTTTTACTATGGCTTACAAAATGGCCTATGTGTGTGTGTGGCGTGAACATTAAGTGAATCAGCATCCTAAAAATAAAACCTCTTCAAGTACCGGTATGTTATTTGTAAAACACAGACTAAAATGTCCAGGTAATTTACTTTTTTTTCAGGCACGTTACATAAAACGTGACTGCCCAGCTATACCCTACAGCACCTCAACATGGCATCAGTTTTACAAAATACGTCAACATGTCATGCATTTCATACTTATTTCATAAAGCATAATAATTTCCGTGGGGTGAGATTCCTACTAATCTCTACAAATTTTATAACCAACCTTTCGAACTTCACATGTTGATGCACAGATGATGAATCTTCCCAAAATGTCGACGATTCCATCTGTAGATTAACATCAGACAAAACTTCACTGATCCAAACGCCAATATAAGATGTTTAATTAACACAAACTTTTCAAACTTTTCCACTGAAAGCCCACAAAAGCTAACCTTCAAGAAAACACTAACGTAAGCATTACTCAGACGCCGTTCCGCAAATGAGCAGTCGGTTGTTTCCACGCCTCGCCACACGTGCCGATGTTAAATGACGTCATGTAGTCACACGATCGCCATGTGCCCCCCGCTCTGAGGTCACGTGGAATTCAACGCGACCTACTGCTACGGTATCAAACCAAATGAATATCGACACGCGTAGCCAAGAGTTAATAAGCAGAGATTTATTTGCCGTCTTATCTGAAGAGTAAGCGGGGATATGATAGTGCTGTACATATCGGAATAAAGAGTTCTTAATGAAGTTTATTATGCAGAATATATACAAATTAACCAGGGCCCATTTATGTCTATTGACACCTGTAGTGAAAATCGCTTCACATTCGATTTTCACACCAGGTGTCGATTTTAATCGAATCTGACATGATACGAATAAAATATGCTGGGATATAAAATGTCCGAAAACAATTGTTTCAGAAGACTCGCTCGTATTTCATTTATTTTGATTGAACAACACAACATAAAGGGGGATAAATCTGCGAAAGGAATGAATATCCATTCACGTTTCTACTCAAGAAAACAGAAGTAACTTCTGAACAGTGCCGAGATCAGGTGTGTATGTGGGGTTAAGTTTAGCATTCCATCTTAACCTATACGCACCTGGTTTAATTTGTTTTCCTTCCTAAGTTACACAATGTTTTCCACTTCTGCTCCTACACAACTCGCTCTTATTTTCCGTATTTTGTTATAGTTCTTTGTAACTGAAAGGACGTAACAGGAGAATTACGAAGATGTTTCACAATTCGCAAGCAAGTCTACACCTCACGCCAACATCATTATGATGTGAAGAACGAAATGCGCAAGGAACCCATAGATAAGTAAGAAACGATATTGCCAAATTTTGATTATAAAACCTGATGGAAAAGCGTAGATGGATTTTGTAGTCACAATTTGTTAAGATGGTTGTAGGATCCTATGAAGACGGCGTGAACTTAAAACTTAATTTCCGTAAATCTTGGAAATCGAAAAAAATTGATGTCAGCTGCTTGTTAAAGATGCTGTACTTTAGAATGTATTACTCTGGTGACAGAAATTAGTCCGAACGCCTGTCTCCGGCAGAATAAAGTTCTGAATGCTAGCCTTAGCGATTGACGAAGTTCTGAAGATGTTTTCATGAAATTATATTGAAGGACAACAGAAATGAACTGGTTTGCGTTACTTCCTTTTATTGTTTTTTTCCCCGGTAGGTGATGTATGCTGAAACACGTGACTGTGCCCATTATAGAGACAAGACTGTGAACACAGCTACTGAGAAGTGTGAACCGGGTACAAATTTGCAACAATTTTATCAAAGTGGAGCCAGTCCGCATTTAAGTACACACAAATTGTATCTCGTCATTTAGTGCTGTAGTCTGAGTTATTGACAGCGTTCTTTAATATACCATCATTAAATAAAGAAATACAGATACGTAACAACCAAGTTAACAGATCTATATTTTTGTGGAATGTTGGTACAAATGATTCTATTCTCCATTATCTTACGTGGTCTATTAAGCATGTTACTTACGATTCACCTCCAAACTTTCGTATATAAAATTATAGTTTTAATGTAATGCTGTGTGGACTTCTAAGTATATACTGACCCTGAAAATGGAGGCAGTATGTTCTTCCAAAACATTTTTAGTTACCTACAAGTCCACATGGCATTACATCCCAGAAGAATATTAAAATCTTCACTGCTTTGACAACCTAAAATGTATAATAAATAACACTTTTATTGGCAAAAAATAAAAGTAAATTGCTATTAATGTATGTAGTCTTATATTTTACTATATACAATTTGAGAATCTGCAAATATTTTGATAGAGTCAGGACGTATTCGAGACCTCTGACAAAAATACCTGCAATTAAAGTTATTCCATGCCAAATTGAGGTGGATAATGAATGGTATGTTGGAGTGGATTTTCTAAGGAATCTCTTATTTCTGCTGTAAAGAGTGACCTCTGGTACATGTACATCATCATTTATTTTCCAAATGATTGACATGATCTGTTCATAATCACTCTTTCTCACCTAATTTTATACTAATTTGCCTTTTTAAACTAACTAAAACTATGCAAGGTTTGCTTATCAAGAATATCAAGTACACACGATCTTTCTGGCATCCATCAACTTCCTTCCGTGCCACCTCACAGAATCCATTTTAATTTTGATATTTAAATATCAAGTGTAAACCTAATCCGACACAAATATCTGTTTGGCGTACAATTGGATCGAAGGTAAAGTATACTTTGTACCGCACAAACAGCGCTGAATTATTCTGAATTGCTTTTATCCATTAAAATCAAGGTTATAATATATGAATTCTGGTGGGGTAAGTCAAGTTTGTATTGAAAAACTGAAGTTGCTTCTTTTTGAAGTGCAATGTACAATAATTACGATTAATCAAAAGAACAAGCAATCGAGATTTGTTTCAAATAAAAAACTATAATTTTTCGTATATAAATTAATATTCCCTTCTCATCTTCTGGGTATTTATTTTTGGAGTTCAATGGCGTATCCATTTTGTTCAATTTCATGGTCAAATCAGCGTTGTTTCCGCCAACAGCGGCTCTTCCAATCGGAAACGAAGTTAAAAAACCCGGAAAATATCGACTAACGTTCAGTTATTTATCACTGCAGCTGAAAAACTGATACACGCGCACTTAATGACCGTCACTTCCCTTGAAGCGCGATTACGAAGAATTCCCCGCACGAGGAACTGAAACATTCTCACATTGTCTTTTACGCGACTTTAAAACTTTAAGAGATAATATATTTCTGTTTAATATATGTTTCATACAACATCCTAATATCGTACACATAAAGTCTATGGCGTTGCCCCATTCTCCGGAGCTATTAACCAACTTGGTTAATATTAACTTCCAATCCTGCTGCTTGCTGAAATAAAGAAGACACGAATTGATTTTATAGAAATTCAATTTCTTGTTAATTGTCTCATGAACCAGTAATAAATAATAAATACATAAAAACTCACTCATTAACAAATATTAACATATTGTGTTTAAAATCAGTGGATAGGGGGGGACGAAGGGGAAAACGGCTCCTTAACAGTACGTGGCGTATAGAATGATTACTATTTTAATTATTCATGTGACCTGAGATCCTGTCAATTGCATGCAAAGAGACTAAAATGCTTTAGAAACAGTAAACAATGCCCAGATGACGGAGGCAGTGAGGACCTCTGAAACGTCGGCAAACTTCTACGAGACTACATGACGCTACAACTCAGAAGACAGTCGGTCGTCTTTGTAGTCACCACTGAGAACCTCTAATCCTACTCCTAAACACTGATTAGAGAAAATCAAAATTTTGGGTTTCGTGATATTGAAGGAGGAGGTGGAGGGGAGAAGGAGGAGGACGAGGAGAAGGAGGAGAATAAGAAGAACAACAACGTTTCATCTGTAGTCTTCAAATGACATTTTAAAGCGAATACTCCAAAGAGAATGAAGACGTGTACATCATAAAAAGACTGAATGAAGCGAAACTTGACTTTTAAACACTACACATACCACCAGAAACTACAAGTGTCTGTACAGATGCGTGTTCTGGTTGTAATTACAATTTACTACTAAGATATACAAAGATGAAGATTATGATTACATATACATAAAAAAGGATAGTATTTACTGTCGGACAGAATTAATACACTAGAGCCGGGGAAATTCTTTTATGAACCAATACAATATTTCAAATTACATAAACAACCACAGAACAACGGACAACCTACAGAGCCAGGCGACATTTTTTGCAGCTGGAGATATATGAAAATGAAGCGCATAAACAGATGGAATAATTTTATTTTACTACAAGCCGATTCAGATTTGCAATGGGCACAACAAAGTATGTTACTCAACATTTTGATGCGTAGAAATCACGATTCTCGCTCCCGATCTTGAATAGTGCCAAGAGTTTGGGTCAGGAAGATTTATTTCCCTAATTAGAAAATCTTAGGTATATTATTTTATGACAAAACAACATAAAAATAAAGGCGACAATGCTTGAGGTTATAAATATTAATTTATTTTGTGTCTCTTTCCCATACATTATAAATGTATCCATTTGCATCTTCCTGTGTAAGACGATTACTTCACGTGTAAAAAAGATGAAAACAATAAACAGAGCTGCTGATGACCTACAACTGATTAAGTTCAGAATGATGTTTTTAGATACAACATATAATCGTAAATCTAAAACAAAGCTCTGCAAACTACTGAAAGGAAAAGACCTGGCGAGGTAATCTTTATTCCATGTTTGTCCCTTAGTCTGGTAAGTGCTCATTCATGTCTTCCCTTAATTTTAATCTGAAAAACATAGGTTGAAGATTAAAATATGAAAGGAAAACATGATAAGGTTATCAAATATATAAGACAAAAAACAGCAGACTGTAAGTAAAACGTACAAAAAAATAAATAAATACTCTTACTAATTGTTTTACTCGTATCAGCACAGTGAAAAAAATCTGGTAAACGAGAATAAACGTATGGTTAAGTAAGAAATTCTGCATGGATGTTCCTACAAATGAATTGCGTATTTCAGGAATTATTTGGCGATACAAATTGTTCCCGTAATTAATTTTCTTGATTAGACCCGTAATAACCGTAGCAGTGATAATTTCCAGTACCTTCGAACATTCTATTTTTATCCTGAGGGCTTAAACAGGCAAACGTTTTCAATAGACCAAGTTCTCGATAAATGACCGAGAATCCAGATGTAGATAAAATCGGAGTACAAGAAATAACCCGTGGTCTTTATTCCATGTGGAACTTCTTATTAAAAATACACATACAAATAATATTACAAATACCACTTTTCTCTATATAACTTGATATCTTGTTTCATAAAAAATTCTCGTGCTCAAATGTACAGAATTCTGAAAACAAAAACTTATCACATTTCATTACATACACTGAAATGAATGGGTACTTATTTGGCACTTAATCATTTAAAAACATCGATTACAATCACGAAAACTATAAAATTTGTCAATTCTTAGAACAGGCGAAACTGTCATTGGATACAGGATGATTCAGTAACCCTTTGAGAATTATCCATATATTTTATTACATCAGGTACTGAGAAATATATTATTATATTTAAAATTCATTACTCATCAGCAGACGTGAAACTTCGATTCCATCACGCACGGCCTTCTTTCCGGTTTGCTTTACAACCAACATATGTCCCATAACCGCACTTAATCGTCTTTTAATGTACCTTCTTGTGTAAAGCTGTTATGTGAAATTATCATACAATATTTTTATGAGTCTAACCCTCTGCTCCCCTACTTAATGGTACCTGCACCTTGTCGTGGTGGTGGGGCTCGAGTACCTCAGTGACCCCAAGAGCTACTGGTAGGGCCTCCCTAGCCAGATTGGTCGAGGGGGAGAGGTCAGACTAAGACAGGTACCCTGGTCCTCCAGGTTGGGGGTTGGTCGCAAGGCTAACAATCTTGCACCGTAAAAAAGGAAGATGTTTCGAAACCTCGATCGAAGCCTCGGACAGACGGACCTAACAGAGGAGAATTGAGGAGGCCGTGGACCGAATACGGACAGGATAGTCATATAAGAAGAAGAACCCTCTGTTCTGTGACTTCTCATGTTAACCACATGTTTATACAGAGAAATTTGAAAACATAACAAAAAAATAGGGAAATGATCATTTGATCCAGTAAAAGGTAATAACATTCATTAGTTTGTGTTTTTGTTTCACAGTGGATATACCATGATCCAAAAGTCTTATGCTCAGAGATGAGAAATGTAAAGGATTTAGAATTACTGAGAATATCAATAATTTGGGCTGCGTGCTAAGAAAGAAAGTACATTTGCCTTTAGAAAGTGAAATATAAAGGCAGCTGGATGGTTATTCTGTGAAATCAGACAATTATGGTGCAAGATGCATCGACTGAGGTCATTAAATAGTGTACGGTAGCATGTCTCATGATGACACGCGGACCTGTTAATGAGACATGCTGTCTTCACCTTCAGGGCTGAAGAAAACATTTCATTCCGTTCATTTAATAACAATAATTTAAACTGACAAAGTAAATTTTAGTTCCCGCTTGTAATAATTTTATACTTTACGTTATCCACAAATAACGGTAGACGACTTGGGAGTGTGGGTTTTATTTCTTACGGACGGGTTGGATGCTTATCTATGCATGTATGAATTATCTACTGCAGACGATTGTCACTGTACGCAGGTCTTATTCTGGGCATTTCAACGTTGCTACCGTCGAGGTCTGACCAATTCCCTGAACTACAGAGAACACTACCGCAGTACTCTTAACCAATCAGGATCCCACGTCTTTAATCATGAAACGCCAATAGAGAGAAATGAAAGAAGAGCCCGTAGCTTGTAAAATCTCATTTTAGTACGCAAAAAAGGATCCTAGATATTTATTCGTTAACCTGGAAGTACTTTATAATTAAAGTAATAAATGTTAAGTCGATAAATTTATTTCAACGAAAAGTAATCATAAATACACATCTAAAATTAGGATTCAATAAAAAAACATAAATCAGACCCTTCGTACAACAAAAACCGAATGTTGGCAGTAACTGCATTTCAGCATCTGTTTGGAGAAATGGTAGTCCAGACTAATATGGAAAGTAGCGATGTGCGCAAGACATACCAACACACATGCACACAAAACTCATAAAAATATGATCATACTCACAAAAATGACAAAATATTAAAATATTCAGATTTCAGAAATTTCCAAAATGAAGCTGAAATATCAAACACAATAGCAGAACGTGTGCAGCCAACAAACCTGATAACATTCACGTGGAAATTCGTCATTTCTATATAGGACAATGTTGGTAACAATAATAATCCGTGGCATAAGAGCCCTCTGAGAGCCAAAGCCAACTACCTGGCTGCTGGCCTCACGTTCACATGCCTAAGCAGAGGTGAACGATCATCCAACTAGATAGGGGGTGACGTGTGGTCAGCACGACGAACCCCCAGCAATTGCTAGTTTTCCTGACCGGATTACGCTACTCATTGTAGCTACCCAATTTCCTCACGATGCTGGGTTGGCACCGGTCCCATACACCGGTCGAAAATCTCACGAGAAATTTCTTTCCCCGAGACTTGAACCGGCGCGCATTCTGTATCACCTGTCCGAAGCATGATGCCTCAGACCGCGCGGGACGGACAATGTTGGTCCCCGCTTTAATATATTCTCAGAGCACGTGATGGTAAAACCTGTAATGTGCTCACAGTACAGATGCCTCGCCTTCTTTATTCACCTGTATGAATCTAACTTTAATCATAAGTTGTTTTAAGAATGACTTCTGAAGTCGATCGTGGAACAAATTTTCAGCCGCACAAATTTGCCTCGACAGTTAACGACCGACAGCTGCCTAGTCCATTTAACAACACTTCCCGTAGTTCATATCATATATCAGATAGGGGATGATAGTGAATAATAAAAGGGGAAGGATGTTATGAATGACTTTTATATGACTGCAGTTATCTTACATACCTGACTTAACTGGAGTCAGATGGAGACAGAGCCGACTGCTATAACCGTTCCTCTGCTCTCGCCTTCATCCGGTTGATAAAAGCCTGACCCTTGCTCTTGCGGAAATTCTCATATGGATCGTTCAAATTGATACCAACACCTTTGTACATATCCACTTTGTCCCGAACCTATGTCCACAAAATGATCACAACGTAAAATTATGACAAACCTGGTAAATTTCATAATCACTCTACTTTGACAGACATGAGTAAGCAGTCTGACAGAAACTCCTTATACACAATAAGTTCTTTTAAACGTGAACACTGTGCGTATATCATAAATTAGCCTTACATTATTTAATAATGCTCTTTCGAAAGCGAATATTATGGATGACTGCGTATTAAAAAGCCCTGAATTTTTCCAATCCACACCAGTTAATTTAAATATACAACAAAATTTCTACAAACAGGATCAACATCTGTTTATAAAATAAAGAAACTGCTGTACAACAAAACCGAAAATCATTGCTGTTTCATGGTTTTACCACGGTGAATTCTGATATAAAGCGAATATTTCACGATACCAACCTCTCCGCCTGAAATCGGTTGCTCAATGCCTTGTTCCTTTGCGCCCAAACCGGCTCCACCCCATCCCATTTTCCGAAGCATCTGATGACCTTTATTACTCTCATCCAACTGCCTCTGTGCCTCCGTCTTGCTGTAAGTTGAACCTCTAAAGAGAAAAGGGGGGGAAAAAACCAAAACATTTACAAATATACTTCTACTCGTCTGATAAATTACCAATGAGTGTGTTCATCGGTCTTGCAAGATTGATTTGTGTTATGACACATTTATTCAGGTACGTCAGAAAATAGCACGCAACAGTCATCATCACCGACTTTGCTATTAATACCCGATTTAAGGCATTAATTTTTCATCATCAACTCTGCTAGTAACACCCAACTTACCCCTTTAAAACCCACCTACTTAATTCTCTATTTATGGGTTTTGCATGATTCTCACTGTGAACAGGGATTATTTCCTTAAAGAGCGTTAAACAACTGATCATATTAATGGTGAAGTGTTGGGCAGACTGGCATGAAATAAGCCACACATTATAATTTACTAACAGGAAAGACGGTGGTGTCGGACTCCTTTCAGGACTTCGTTGCTGTGATGCCTGGTGACCATGGGGACTTCTAGATCGTGACCTTGAACCTGACCTAGACCTCGACCGAGACCTAGAAGAAGACAGGAGGTGAAAGATGAAATACAACGCAACTCTCCCAATACCAAAGCGAGACACAAACAATTTGCATGAATTAGTCTTAACTGAGTGGTAAAAAGAACTCGACATAAATAAAAGCTCTATTATGAAGGTGATGTGATAAAGAGGTAAAATTAGCATCTCTGCTCATAAAACTTACCAGATTTTCTGCATTTTGACCAAATTAAATACTGCACTAAGAATAAAAACAATTTTCTTTCTGGCGTGGCTTGTTACCTTGAGCGAGGCTTATATGTCCGGTTTTGTCTTCTTGTTGGAGATCTCCTATTATTATTATTGTTGTTGTTATTGTTGTTTGTGTTGCTGCTATTAGTGTTGTTGGAACTGTTTGTCCTGTTGTTATAATGTTTCACTGCTGAGGGTGGTGTTCTTGATCGAGATCTTGATTTTGATTTAGATCGGGTCTTTGAATTGGAACGACTACGACTCCGTGATTTACTGAAATAAAAATAAATTAGATAAACACATACAACGGCTGCAATGTAAATTACACATCTGAATCCATGTAAAAAGATTTGTGGACAAGAACTCTAGGACGTGAATCTCGATCATACAGCAAAACTACAATTTCACAATACAGCGAAGTGTCATCAGTACATTCTTCACAAGGATTTTTGATGTCCAGGATGATAAATTATTGTGTACTGTACAGAACACACACAGTTTAATTAACTTCATGATTATTTTTGACTTACGCAAATAACAGAAGAAATTCGCAAGAAATCTTCTGTATCAATCAAAATCTTGATCATTATTTGACCTTGTACATTACCAAACATTTTTTAAGGGAAAAAAATTACATATATTCCATTGAATAACCATAACACTTCTACAATACCTGCGATATCGCTTTTTAGGTGGTGAACGGCTTCTTGATCTAAAACATATGACTGGCGATGGTGATTTGGAACGCTCTCTTACGCCCTCAAGGATATCATCAACTTTCTTTTTTCTGGCAGCGTTCTTTGCTCGGTAATACTCATAAAGTCCCAGCTTCTCCCAGCCTTCACTGTCAATAATCAATCTGAGCACGTTAGTATACGAGATGCCAAACAAAGGTTAATACTTCATTATAATACCGTATTCCTTTATTTCAAGACACCATTGATTGTAAGAAGCACCTCTGATACAGAAATAGGTTTTCAGGAAAAAATGCATTATTGATTCTTAAGACACCGTCAGATGTAAGACGCTCCCTGATTTCAGAAATTTTAAATGTGAAAAAAGTGAGTTAAAATTGAGGATATATGGTATATACTATTCAAAACCCTTACACTTAAATGGTCACAATTTAAAAACTCATAATACATAACCAACAAGCCATAAAGCATGCAATGATTTTTTAATGCCACGCTTTCTCGTCACTTGCGGACGATTGGTGAACGAATCTCACAATTTAAACAGTTTAATGTATACGTTAAACATGGTCACGTCGATGGAAAAGCGATTAACAACATTTTCCAACTAAAAGATGTTTTTTTTTCATTTACCACTTGTATCCCTTTATACCCAGTAAAATACATGATAATAAATTTTCTTGTCGCAAAAATTAATTTCATGTCAGTATCACTACACTAGAGATTAGAAATACCTATCTCTGGGCCGGTCATGGCAGGGTGGAGCATAAAAAGCCTCTACAGCTGCTAGCAGTCGCTCACTAGGCGGAGCGGGAGGAGGGAGTCTGATGCTGTCTGGATCCAGAGGCTTGTATTCTCCATCCTCCAACTGCAACCACAGATATCTCGCTCAGCCTCATACTAACAAAATTCTAATGAAGTGATGCAATAAACTTTAAAAAACACTAATTACAAAGGGAACATGGATATATAAGGGATGTAAGATTACCTTAATGAGAGGCACCATGAGTCCTGCTGGGAGTTCAAAATATGGAACGCTGGGCATCAATTCATCCAGCGCAACCTCTGGAGGTACCTGGTTATTTAACGGAGGCAATGGAAATCCTGGAGGCGGCTTACTGAGATCAGGAAGTTCCAGACCTGGAAAGCAACGGAGTCCGTACATTTAAATACGACAACTTCAATTAAGATGGCATTCAGGTGGAGCTAAGTCAGTATACTGATTACGCTACTGGACGGATGACCAAAGTTTGATTCCCGGCAGGGAACAACTCTTCTCTTTGCTGCAATAACCAGACTGTCTCTGGGTCTTTACTTTACATTATAGAAACATGAAGGATCTGAGGTTTTCATGGTGGCGAGTCTGACGATGGCTGCCTTCTTCGTTGTTGTGCCGTGGAGTCTGGTAGGCTGACGACGGAGGCAGCAAGGACCTCTGAAATGTCGATAAACTTCTACCAGACTACATGGCGCAACCCTGAAGACAGCCATCCTTATAAAACACGGCGAAGAATCAATCGTTAAAAGAAAGCCTGCAGCTAGGAGTTAAAACTTCGTTCAATAAAGTGAGAGGGCTTTCCTACTTGTTTCTTACTTTGCATGCTAAAGCAGCCCATCCATGTACGAGTCTGGCTTGAGAGTCCAGCTCGGCTCGGGTTCCATCAAGCCAAACTTGTTTGTGGGTGGGGTGTCACAAGCCGAGTCTGCGAAATATATCCGAGCCCGGCTCACGAGTCAAGCTCGCAAGTCACTCGTATGTGGATGGGCCGCTTAATGCTCTCTGAACTGTTTAGGTTAATACAGTGTCAAGTAGTAGGATGACTATGAATTATGAAATGGAAAGGATATGGAAGGAAACGGTCATGGCCATTTTACAATAAAGGACCGAGGGAAAATACCCAACTAACCTCACACACATTAAGTGGCCAGTTGGTGAAGAACCAATCTCAAATCTCAAAAATACAAAACCAGAGTACTATAAAGTTAATCATGACAGTTCTGCTTAACAATTTGAGGGAAAAAACTTAGTCTTATTAGTAAATAAAAATTCAGTCCCTACATCAGAGAAAACTAAACACAATCTTTGTTACATAGACAAATTGCTTATGCTGTTTAGGGAAATAATTCCTGTCTATTCTAGCAAAATGCAGAGTTTGTGATCATTTTGCTTTAAAGAGTAAACAGCAGATACCAAATGGTTGATCTTACCTGGCGGAAATGCTGGCAAATATCCTGGTGGAGGTTGACTAAAGTTAATTTCTGGGGGGCCATGACTTGGGGGTATGGGAGGTCCATGCTGATGAGGTGGTCCTGGCAGAGGACCTGGTGGGGGACCGTGTTGTGGTGGACACGGCAGTCCATGTTGAGGTGGGCCTACTTCATTCTGAAGAGGCGGTGGTGGAGGAGGGGGCTGCTGTGCCGCTGACATCACCGCTAAAGCCGGCGGCGGTTGCTGCTGCGGTTGAAGGTGAACAGGCGGCAGTGTCTGAGGTTCTACGTAAAAAAAAGTAAAAGTACAATAAAAGGGTAAAAACTGAAGCCTTCTCTATAGCTTCTTAGATTATTCAATATCTTCTCAACAGCACCAAATGAGGATAAAAATGATGCACTGCAAGAGGATCTTGAAGGAAGACATTACTACCGAGACAACACATGCAGGTATGCCTGATATGTTTAATTCTGATACAATAAAAAATTCATTAAAATGTTTGAGCAATATAAAATTAATTGGATGTGACGTAAAAAACACCTCTGGAACATATGCATATCTACAGAGTACACCTTTCCAACCTTAAATTATATTGCAGTGTCATGGCGTGGATGGACGTAACTGCATTAATATTAAATAACTGTCTCCACACAACAATATTTATATATTTATGCACCACACATTCTTTTACCATCTTGACATTATTCTTTTGTCAAATATTTTGGACTTATCGAACATATAGGAATATGAAGCCATCATTTGAGTTTTTTTGTACAGTAATGGTCACAGTCTTTATTTGACTAGCTAGGTAAAAAAAGTTAATTAAAAGAATAAATATGTATAAAGTAAATTCTGATCTTGTCGTCCTTACCTGGAGGAGGGATATTCACAGCAACTGTCTGTTGCTCTAACTGCTGTTTCTGCTGCTCCAGTGTTTGAATCTGTTGCAATGCATGCTGGACAAATGCTTGATGCTGTGCCTGATACCCCTCGTATGTCAGTTTGGTAGCTGTCGTGATGGGTGTGATTACAGCCGCATGCTGGGTAATGAGCGTCGCCTGATATTCCGACCACGACCGAGACGGATTCTTCAACTTTTCAACAATTGAAGCGTCAAAATAGTTGTTCTTTGATTCCCAAAGATTCAGCAACTGCAGGTTGGATAATGGTTAAGTAAGACACTCTTAAATATTTAGATTTAGTACAGCCATACAAAAATTATAAACCTTCTATTACCGAGGTAATACAGAAAAGTTTAACACTACAGAAAACACAAGTGGCGGCAATTAAAATTTTTAAAAATGATGACAAGAGCATTTGTTAAGCCCCGATAACAGAAATAACTAAGTAACCTCACTTCTTCTTCTTTTTCTTTGTAATGAGTACCTCAGTGACCCCAAGAGCTACTGGTAGGGCCTCCCTAGCCAGATTGGTCGAGGGGGAGAGGTCAGACTAAGACAGGTACCCTGGTCCTCCAGGTTGGGGGTTGGTCGCAAGGCTAACAATCTTGCACCGTAAAAAAGGAAGATGTTTCGAAACCTCGATCGAAGCCTCGGACAGACGGACCTAACAGAGGAGAATTGAGGAGGCCGTGGACCGAATACGGACAGGATAGTCATATAAGAAGAAGAACCCTCTGTTCTGTGACTTCTCATGTTAACCACATGTTTATACAGAGAAATTTGAAAACATAACAAAAAAATAGGGAAATGATCATTTGATCCAGTAAAAGGTAATAACATTCATTAGTTTGTGTTTTTGTTTCACAGTGGATATACCATGATCCAAAAGTCTTATGCTCAGAGATGAGAAATGTAAAGGATTTAGAATTACTGAGAATATCAATAATTTGGGCTGCGTGCTAAGAAAGAAAGTACATTTGCCTTTAGAAAGTGAAATATAAAGGCAGCTGGATGGTTATTCTGTGAAATCAGACAATTATGGTGCAAGATGCATCGACTGAGGTCATTAAATAGTGTACGGTAGCATGTCTCATGATGACACGCGGACCTGTTAATGAGACATGCTGTCTTCACCTTCAGGGCTGAAGAAAACATTTCATTCCGTTCATTTAATAACAATAATTTAAACTGACAAAGTAAATTTTAGTTCCCGCTTGTAATAATTTTATACTTTACGTTATCCACAAATAACGGTAGACGACTTGGGAGTGTGGGTTTTATTTCTTACGGACGGGTTGGATGCTTATCTATGCATGTATGAATTATCTACTGCAGACGATTGTCACTGTACGCAGGTCTTATTCTGGGCATTTCAACGTTGCTACCGTCGAGGTCTGACCAATTCCCTGAACTACAGAGAACACTACCGCAGTACTCTTAACCAATCAGGATCCCACGTCTTTAATCATGAAACGCCAATAGAGAGAAATGAAAGAAGAGCCCGTAGCTTGTAAAATCTCATTTTAGTACGCAAAAAAGGATCCTAGATATTTATTCGTTAACCTGGAAGTACTTTATAATTAAAGTAATAAATGTTAAGTCGATAAATTTATTTCAACGAAAAGTAATCATAAATACACATCTAAAATTAGGATTCAATAAAAAAACATAAATCAGACCCTTCGTACAACAAAAACCGAATGTTGGCAGTAACTGCATTTCAGCATCTGTTTGGAGAAATGGTAGTCCAGACTAATATGGAAAGTAGCGATGTGCGCAAGACATACCAACACACATGCACACAAAACTCATAAAAATATGATCATACTCACAAAAATGACAAAATATTAAAATATTCAGATTTCAGAAATTTCCAAAATGAAGCTGAAATATCAAACACAATAGCAGAACGTGTGCAGCCAACAAACCTGATAACATTCACGTGGAAATTCGTCATTTCTATATAGGACAATGTTGGTAACAATAATAATCCGTGGCATAAGAGCCCTCTGAGAGCCAAAGCCAACTACCTGGCTGCTGGCCTCACGTTCACATGCCTAAGCAGAGGTGAACGATCATCCAACTAGATAGGGGGTGACGTGTGGTCAGCACGACGAACCCCCAGCAATTGCTAGTTTTCCTGACCGGATTACGCTACTCATTGTAGCTACCCAATTTCCTCACGATGCTGGGTTGGCACCGGTCCCATACACCGGTCGAAAATCTCACGAGAAATTTCTTTCCCCGAGACTTGAACCGGCGCGCATTCTGTATCACCTGTCCGAAGCATGATGCCTCAGACCGCGCGGGACGGACAATGTTGGTCCCCGCTTTAATATATTCTCAGAGCACGTGATGGTAAAACCTGTAATGTGCTCACAGTACAGATGCCTCGCCTTCTTTATTCACCTGTATGAATCTAACTTTAATCATAAGTTGTTTTAAGAATGACTTCTGAAGTCGATCGTGGAACAAATTTTCAGCCGCACAAATTTGCCTCGACAGTTAACGACCGACAGCTGCCTAGTCCATTTAACAACACTTCCCGTAGTTCATATCATATATCAGATAGGGGATGATAGTGAATAATAAAAGGGGAAGGATGTTATGAATGACTTTTATATGACTGCAGTTATCTTACATACCTGACTTAACTGGAGTCAGATGGAGACAGAGCCGACTGCTATAACCGTTCCTCTGCTCTCGCCTTCATCCGGTTGATAAAAGCCTGACCCTTGCTCTTGCGGAAATTCTCATATGGATCGTTCAAATTGATACCAACACCTTTGTACATATCCACTTTGTCCCGAACCTATGTCCACAAAATGATCACAACGTAAAATTATGACAAACCTGGTAAATTTCATAATCACTCTACTTTGACAGACATGAGTAAGCAGTCTGACAGAAACTCCTTATACACAATAAGTTCTTTTAAACGTGAACACTGTGCGTATATCATAAATTAGCCTTACATTATTTAATAATGCTCTTTCGAAAGCGAATATTATGGATGACTGCGTATTAAAAAGCCCTGAATTTTTCCAATCCACACCAGTTAATTTAAATATACAACAAAATTTCTACAAACAGGATCAACATCTGTTTATAAAATAAAGAAACTGCTGTACAACAAAACCGAAAATCATTGCTGTTTCATGGTTTTACCACGGTGAATTCTGATATAAAGCGAATATTTCACGATACCAACCTCTCCGCCTGAAATCGGTTGCTCAATGCCTTGTTCCTTTGCGCCCAAACCGGCTCCACCCCATCCCATTTTCCGAAGCATCTGATGACCTTTATTACTCTCATCCAACTGCCTCTGTGCCTCCGTCTTGCTGTAAGTTGAACCTCTAAAGAGAAAAGGGGGGGAAAAAACCAAAACATTTACAAATATACTTCTACTCGTCTGATAAATTACCAATGAGTGTGTTCATCGGTCTTGCAAGATTGATTTGTGTTATGACACATTTATTCAGGTACGTCAGAAAATAGCACGCAACAGTCATCATCACCGACTTTGCTATTAATACCCGATTTAAGGCATTAATTTTTCATCATCAACTCTGCTAGTAACACCCAACTTACCCCTTTAAAACCCACCTACTTAATTCTCTATTTATGGGTTTTGCATGATTCTCACTGTGAACAGGGATTATTTCCTTAAAGAGCGTTAAACAACTGATCATATTAATGGTGAAGTGTTGGGCAGACTGGCATGAAATAAGCCACACATTATAATTTACTAACAGGAAAGACGGTGGTGTCGGACTCCTTTCAGGACTTCGTTGCTGTGATGCCTGGTGACCATGGGGACTTCTAGATCGTGACCTTGAACCTGACCTAGACCTCGACCGAGACCTAGAAGAAGACAGGAGGTGAAAGATGAAATACAACGCAACTCTCCCAATACCAAAGCGAGACACAAACAATTTGCATGAATTAGTCTTAACTGAGTGGTAAAAAGAACTCGACATAAATAAAAGCTCTATTATGAAGGTGATGTGATAAAGAGGTAAAATTAGCATCTCTGCTCATAAAACTTACCAGATTTTCTGCATTTTGACCAAATTAAATACTGCACTAAGAATAAAAACAATTTTCTTTCTGGCGTGGCTTGTTACCTTGAGCGAGGCTTATATGTCCGGTTTTGTCTTCTTGTTGGAGATCTCCTATTATTATTATTGTTGTTGTTATTGTTGTTTGTGTTGCTGCTATTAGTGTTGTTGGAACTGTTTGTCCTGTTGTTATAATGTTTCACTGCTGAGGGTGGTGTTCTTGATCGAGATCTTGATTTTGATTTAGATCGGGTCTTTGAATTGGAACGACTACGACTCCGTGATTTACTGAAATAAAAATAAATTAGATAAACACATACAACGGCTGCAATGTAAATTAAAATTCTGAATCCATGTAAAAAGATTTGTGGACAAGAACTCTAGGACGTGAATCTCGATCATACAGCAAAACTACAATTTCACAATACAGCGAAGTGTCATCAGTACATTCTTCACGAGGATTTTTGATGTCCAGGATGATAAATTATTGTGTACTGTACAGAACACACACAGTTTAATTAACTTCATGATTATTTTTGACTTACGCAAATAACAGAAGAAATTCGCAAGAAATCTTCTGTATCAATCAAAATCTTGATCATTATTTGACCTTGTACATTACCAAACATTTTTTAAGGGAAAAAAATTACATATATTCCATTGAATAACCATAACACTTCTACAATACCTGCGATATCGCTTTTTAGGTGGTGAACGGCTTCTTGATCTAAAACATATGACTGGCGATGGTGATTTGGAACGCTCTCTTACGCCCTCAAGGATATCATCAACTTTCTTTTTTCTGGCAGCGTTCTTTGCTCGGTAATACTCATAAAGTCCCAGCTTCTCCCAGCCTTCACTGTCAATAATCAATCTGAGCACGTTAGTATACGAGATGCCAAACAAAGGTTAATACTTCATTATAATACCGTATTCCTTTATTTCAAGACACCATTGATTGTAAGAAGCACCTCTGATACAGAAATAGGTTTTCAGGAAAAAATGCATTATTGATTCTTAAGACACCGTCAGATGTAAGACGCTCCCTGATTTCAGAAATTTTAAATGTGAAAAAAGTGAGTTAAAATTGAGGATATATGGTATATACTATTCAAAACCCTTACACTTAAATGGTCACAATTTAAAAACTCATAATACATAACCAACAAGCCATAAAGCATGCAATGATTTTTTAATGCCACGCTTTCTCGTCACTTGCGGACGATTGGTGAACGAATCTCACAATTTAAACAGTTTAATGTATACGTTAAACATGGTCACGTCGATGGAAAAGCGATTAACAACATTTTCCAACTAAAAGATGTTTTTTTTTCATTTACCACTTGTATCCCTTTATACCCAGTAAAATACATGATAATAAATTTTCTTGTCGCAAAAATTAATTTCATGTCAGTATCACTACACTAGAGATTAGAAATACCTATCTCTGGGCCGGTCATGGCAGGGGGGAGCATAAAAAGCCTCTACAGCTGCTAGCAGTCGCTCACTAGGCGGAGCGGGAGGAGGGAGTCTGATGCTGTCTGGATCCAGAGGCTTGTATTCTCCATCCTCCAACTGCAACCACAGATATCTCGCTCAGCCTCATACTAACAAAATTCTAATGAAGTGATGCAATAAACTTTAAAAAACACTAATTACAAAGGGAACATGGATATATAAGGGATGTAAGATTACCTTAATGAGAGGCACCATGAGTCCTGCTGGGAGTTCAAAATATGGAACGCTGGGCATCAATTCATCCAGCGCAACCTCTGGAGGTACCTGGTTATTTAACGGAGGCAATGGAAATCCTGGAGGCGGCTTACTGAGATCAGGAAGTTCCAGACCTGGAAAGCAACGGAGTCCGTACATTTAAATACGACAACTTCAATTAAGATGGCATTCAGGTGGAGCTAAGTCAGTATACTGATTACGCTACTGGACGGATGACCAAAGTTTGATTCCCGGCAGGGAACAACTCTTCTCTTTGCTGCAATAACCAGACTGTCTCTGGGTCTTTACTTTACATTATAGAAACATGAAGGATCTGAGGTTTTCATGGTGGCGAGTCTGACGATGGCTGCCTTCTTCGTTGTTGTGCCGTGGAGTCTGGTAGGCTGACGACGGAGGCAGCAAGGACCTCTGAAATGTCGATAAACTTCTACCAGACTACATGGCGCAACCCTGAAGACAGCCATCCTTATAAAACACGGCGAAGAATCAATCGTTAAAAGAAAGCCTGCAGCTAGGAGTTAAAACTTCGTTCAATAAAGTGAGAGGGCTTTCCTACTTGTTTCTTACTTTGCATGCTAAAGCAGCCCATCCATGTACGAGTCTGGCTTGAGAGTCCAGCTCGGCTCGGGTTCCATCAAGCCAAACTTGTTTGTGGGTGGGGTGTCACAAGCCGAGTCTGCGAAATATATCCGAGCCCGGCTCACGAGTCAAGCTCGCAAGTCACTCGTATGTGGATGGGCCGCTTAATGCTCTCTGAACTGTTTAGGTTAATACAGTGTCAAGTAGTAGGATGACTATGAATTATGAAATGGAAAGGATATGGAAGGAAACGGTCATGGCCATTTTACAATAAAGGACCGAGGGAAAATACCCAACTAACCTCACACACATTAAGTGGCCAGTTGGTGAAGAACCAATCTCAAATCTCAAAAATACAAAACCAGAGTACTATAAAGTTAATCATGACAGTTCTGCTTAACAATTTGAGGGAAAAAACTTAGTCTTATTAGTAAATAAAAATTCAGTCCCTACATCAGAGAAAACTAAACACAATCTTTGTTACATAGACAAATTGCTTATGCTGTTTAGGGAAATAATTCCTGTCTATTCTAGCAAAATGCAGAGTTTGTGATCATTTTGCTTTAAAGAGTAAACAGCAGATACCAAATGGTTGATCTTACCTGGCGGAAATGCTGGCAAATATCCTGGTGGAGGTTGACTAAAGTTAATTTCTGGGGGGCCATGACTTGGGGGTATGGGAGGTCCATGCTGATGAGGTGGTCCTGGCAGAGGACCTGGTGGGGGACCGTGTTGTGGTGGACACGGCAGTCCATGTTGAGGTGGGCCTACTTCATTCTGAAGAGGCGGTGGTGGAGGAGGGGGCTGCTGTGCCGCTGACATCACCGCTAAAGCCGGCGGCGGTTGCTGCTGCGGTTGAAGGTGAACAGGCGGCAGTGTCTGAGGTTCTACGTAAAAAAAAGTAAAAGTACAATAAAAGGGTAAAAACTGAAGCCTTCTCTATAGCTTCTTAGATTATTCAATATCTTCTCAACAGCACCAAATGAGGATAAAAATGATGCACTGCAAGAGGATCTTGAAGGAAGACATTACTACCGAGACAACACATGCAGGTATGCCTGATATGTTTAATTCTGATACAATAAAAAATTCATTAAAATGTTTGAGCAATATAAAATTAATTGGATGTGACGTAAAAAACACCTCTGGAACATATGCATATCTACAGAGTACACCTTTCCAACCTTAAATTATATTGCAGTGTCATGGCGTGGATGGACGTAACTGCATTAATATTAAATAACTGTCTCCACACAACAATATTTATATATTTATGCACCACACATTCTTTTACCATCTTGACATTATTCTTTTGTCAAATATTTTGGACTTATCGAACATATAGGAATATGAAGCCATCATTTGAGTTTTTTTGTACAGTAATGGTCACAGTCTTTATTTGACTAGCTAGGTAAAAAAAGTTAATTAAAAGAATAAATATGTATAAAGTAAATTCTGATCTTGTCGTCCTTACCTGGAGGAGGGATATTCACAGCAACTGTCTGTTGCTCTAACTGCTGTTTCTGCTGCTCCAGTGTTTGAATCTGTTGCAATGCATGCTGGACAAATGCTTGATGCTGTGCCTGATACCCCTCGTATGTCAGTTTGGTAGCTGTCGTGATGGGTGTGATTACAGCCGCATGCTGGGTAATGAGCGTCGCCTGATATTCCGACCACGACCGAGACGGATTCTTCAACTTTTCAACAATTGAAGCGTCAAAATAGTTGTTCTTTGATTCCCAAAGATTCAGCAACTGCAGGTTGGATAATGGTTAAGTAAGACACTCTTAAATATTTAGATTTAGTACAGCCATACAAAAATTATAAACCTTCTATTACCGAGGTAATACAGAAAAGTTTAACACTACAGAAAACACAAGTGGCGGCAATTAAAATTTTTAAAAATGATGACAAGAGCATTTGTTAAGCCCCGATAACAGAAATAACTAAGTAACCTCACTTCTTCTTCTTTTTCTTTGTAATCCTTCTCTCCATTCCAACTGTCAGTGTCATACAATTTTCTCAACAGCAAAGATATAAAAGAAAATCATCACAGATCGGACAAAAAAAAAGTGAGATGTCATAAAATACCTTGTTCAGTTTTGTTTGCTGATCCTCTGTGATGCCAATAGAGGTGTTGCAGAACATAGGGACCACGACTTCCTCCAAAGCCTTCTTCAAGTCCTCTGCATTCTTCCGTGCACTGTACATTTTTTTACAAAACATATACATTCTAATCTTGTAAGATTTGAGGTTTTCACAGCGGTGAGTATGAAGATTTCTGTCTTCTGGGTTGTTGCGCTGTGTAGTCTGGTCGATGTTTACCAACGTTTCAGAGGTCATACTGCCTCCGTCATCAGCGCAACAACCCAGAAGACAGAAATCTTCACATTCTAATCTTGACTAATAAAATATCAAAAATTACTGTCTTTTCTGGGATGCTTCACCACATAGGGTATAAATTCCCCTGATGACAGAGGCAGAAAGCAACTCTGAAATCTCAGTCAACAGACTACATGGTGCAACATGCATCATGGGCTAAAATCCCAACCAGGAGACTAGACCGAGGATTTAAGTGACTTCTGTCATTCCCTCTATGCAAATTCTGGGATACGGCTTTAAATTAGGCCACAATAGCTTCTTTTCATATCCTTTTCAATTCATTCAACACTATAAAGTATGAGCTACTGAGTGTCATTAAATAAACCACAGGTAAATTACAAATTCCTGCCTGACCGGCGAGTATAAACTTTCTTCGCACGCCTTTTCCTTTTATTTTAGCAGGCTAATAAATTCTTGTCTTCACACTAATTTCTCCCAAATCTAAACTTTACATTCTTTGTAGCCCAAGAAATAAGTGTCAGAACAAACATTACATATAACAAATTAACAAAGTATATACAGGTAAATCTCAATTTGTGCCGGTTCAATTTGCGCCAATTCAGAATAACGCCGCTTTTGAAACCAGCTAGTCAAAAAGTAAAAAAAATATATTTTACTATTGTTTATAACGTTTAACAATGTTTCTCGTACTGATTCTTATACTAAATTGTAATTCTTACATCGCTGATTTTGAATAAAAATTATAAATACAGTCACCTCTGCACTCATCGCTAAGTAGTTACAAGATAATCTCCTAAAAATTCACCAACATTGCGCAACAGTCACATGAGCATTGGTCACTCTTCACGGTGAGTCATTTGCATTCAGCCTGATAAGGGAGTTGGAAAAAATGCGCTCAGTTCGCTTCTTGTTGACACATTGAATGCGCTGAAAACTGTGTGCTAAACGTGTTTGCGTTGTTGTTCGACCACTATTCTGCAGTAGCAACTGTTTTATATTTATATATTGTAGAAGAGCCACCATGTCTGGTAGGAGAAGTGAGTGTGTTGCTAAAAACTTGCGTAGTCTATTGTGTTAGAAGATAAGATGGACGTAATTCATAGATTAGACGGTGGTGATACCCGTCGTAATGTGTGCAGAAGTATGAAGTTGCCTCCTTCCACTGTGACGACCATAATGAAAAATTCATATAAAATAAAACAGTCGATGCAACAGACTACGAGAGTAAGTGCAACGCAAGTGAGTTATAGCAGAAGTAAACTTCTAGAAAGAATGGAGAAATTACTGTCGCTATGGGTGGATGACATGAATCGAAAAAACATTCCCTTGACTGAAATTGCTATCACGGATAAGGCGAAGTCAATCTTTGAGGAACTCAAGTCGTCAATGTTTGGGTGCCGGGAACGCGAGTCATTGACTTTCCATTGATTTACATTATAACAGAGTTTCAATTTAAGCCGGTTCATCCAGGAGCGCATCCCCGGCGTAAATCTAGGTTTACCTGCATATCCACAAAACAACTTTTTGATAAAAACTTAATTTATGAACTTACCAGTGATGCAAAACATCATTGACTAAGTATATTATATGCAGTTTCTGTGTAAATGGAGCTCCAGGACTGATAACTCTGTAAAAAGAAAACAATTATTTATGATGATACACGAAATAATAACAGATGTACAATCTTAATGTTCAACGTAAAATTCAAAATGCCTTACATCATGCTAACGTTATTATAGCGATACATACATACTTATGTTGATAAAACACATTTATGTGTTTATAATTGTAATTGTAATAAACTCAGTCATATTAAGATATTTTTTGAACAATCATGAATGTCACGTACTTCTTGAGAAGATACTGTGCCAACACTTGATCTGCTTTCGGTGAAGAAGAACGCTGTAGAATCCACCCCTTGCCTGACGAGATGGAATCTTTGGTGCATGAATCAATAATTGGTTGTAGTACAGAATCTAATTCTGTAAGACTGATACCAGCCTCATCAGCAGCTTGTTGTTGAGTATCTTGCTGCGCTTTACGCAGGGCATCCTCTATCTGCCCTTGTTGCTGCTGCATCAACACCTGTAACAGTAACAAAATAAAGCAACTGACGTTTCGTTCAGTGCATGCTAAACAAACTGTAATGATCGGTCTAGTGACCGCCACGGTGGTCTAGCGGTTAGAACGCTGGCCTTGTAATCCTGGGGTCTGAATTTATAACTTGTGTTGGGCAAAGCCGGGGTCTGGGAAACACAGAGTTTTCCTCCGTGGCATCCCAACAATTACTCCATTCACACACAGAAGAAGGCAATGGCAAACCACTTCTGGATCATCTGCCAAGAACGTATATGAACAGGTCCCAGTCCAAGAAAAGGATTGAAGGATCCTATTCGTAATATGTCGCCAATCTCCTGTAAAGGTGACTGCGTAATAAAGAAGAAGACAGCCATGACAGCTCATTCTATATGGCAAATACTTTCTTTCACCTGAGGCCGTTATAACCTAAAATCGAAACTTTATTTCCCTCTAACGTAATAAACAGAAATCACTAGAACACATTTGTTCACTGTCATACACATCACATATCTGCTTGTACTCTATATAATCTCCGTTTTCCGAAGAAATATGCCATGGTCGCACAAATCATTAAGAACTGAGTAAATGTGTACAAACACGACGTAACATAGTTGAAAAATGTTAAAAAGCTTGAACATTAACATTTCCTGCGTGCTTTTATCAATGAATGAATTCAACCACGCTGCCTCCAGAGGTTAGAAATTAACACTACCATACCGTATGCTGAGCTGCCAAGTTTTGTTCACTCTGTCGTATCTGTTCCTGAAGCTGGTTCTGCTGGCCTATCAGCGACTCTAACGTGATGTTTGGAGTCGCTGCCACCTGTTGCTGCTGCTGAGCTACTGCCAACCACTGGGCTGCGGTTACAGCGGCTGCAGCCAGTGTCAGAGGGGTTGAAGCGCCCGTCACTCCCGACACCACGGGGCTACCCATCATCAGCGGAGGTATCACCGCACTTGCTGGAGCCAGTCCACTATCGCGGGCTGCCTTCTGTTTCAAAACTGGTGTGACACAATACTATGAAGTTACTTTCGTCCAAAACAAATGGACTTTACTGTGGCCGCAGCCAAAACTTCCTTCTGAAGGTAAGGCTGCTCATGCCCCCAACATACGTGTGATATGAGACAGTCTGAATGTGATTGTAAGAAGAAATGTCTGCCCCTGACAGGAATCAAACTCTACCCATCTAGCTTACAGCTGGTCACATAATCCACATGCCCTATGTTTAAGATTTCTAAATCAACGTGTTAGTTCGACATTTTCATAAAATGATGATGTGTTATGTGTGATACTGGCTAGCGCTACGAGATAAGGTTATGTATTTATTTTTATTTTATTTAATTATGCTTGCAGTATCTCAAATAATATAACATCATATGAGAGGATGACAGTGAATAATTATTTGGAAAACTTTTCTAAAGTTTCTGACTCACACAATGACAGCTGATTATAAAATATAGCAAAGATATACGAAATATACTTACTTGCTTGTTCAGTTGTAACTTTGTACTGATAATAATTGAAGTGTTCACCACCAAAGAGGAAACCAAACTTTGGATTGCTCTTTTGTTTGTTTTTCGTCATTTGTTCGAATTCAGGTCCATTACGAGCAACAAACTGAGCTAACTTGTCAATAATGTTACGTAGTTCAACTTCTGTAACAAGAAATCAAAGTAATGTTTCTTGTCATAGCAATTTATTAAATTTGCTACTAAATGAGGTATATTACTGCAAACAGGTTCACATTATACTAAATAAGTCATTAGTAACATAACAGACACTGGTTTTGTTTGCTTAACCGTTCAATATCAGGTTTAATTTGTCACACTCCTTCATGTGGTCATTAGTAAAATATACGGCAGTTTTTCATTTCATGTTCTTCAATTACGGATCGGTAAACCCTGGATTAAAGACTAAGGAGGATGCAATGGTGCATGAATAATATGTAAAGTATTTACAGAGACACATATATACAAAAGTAAAGTAAAGCTGTCTCACTATATGCCATACAGGCGCTTGGGGGAGAGAAGGTATATCTTCTACACATTCTTATCCTCGGCGTTAGATGGGGGTGAGTGTAAGAAAAAAATGCTTTGCCCCATCGGCGACCGAACACGGTTTAGTCTGTAGTCAGTTACTACACTCACTTCAGCTACCCCAAATCCCATATATATATATATATATATATATATCCAATACAGTACAAACAGAGATGAATAAACATGGTTAAATTCACCACTCAAACAGAAATATTCCTCAGTAGATACACTTACATTTTTCAATCTATAAAACACATGTAGTAAGTAATAATTTTGCATTCACCAGTGAGTACATGACATAGTTACCATTAATCAACCATACAAACTGTACAATAAAGTCAATAAAGTTTACTTTCAGTAGATCTGGATACAGGATGCATTTGCATATGGTAGTAACGCAAACATACTAAAAATTGTATCACGTTAAAATTGGAAACGCTTTTTTATGAAAATAACTTCAACGCGTGTTCTGATACACCTTACTGAATAATAACTTTTATACTTCTCTTATGAATATATTATGTATTTTCAAACTGCATTTTTATTGCATAAAGATGATACTTCCAAATTAAAATAGGTATTACACGACGATGTCGTCTAGCACAAGAAATTACGTAATTACCTTGAGGTGGTTTAGGAAGTTCCATTGTAGTACAAAATCTTCAGCACGTATTGGACACAGGTACTTTGTACCAAATAAACACACGCACACAATCAAAAGTACAATTCTGTAACCACTCATAACAACCATCAATTGCCGGCAGCCATTAACGCGTTTCTGCTACTACTGTCGACCTCTGTTGGGATATACCACAGTTCAGTTATATATCTACATATCGGTGGTTGGTAAACTGCAATGCACGTCCAGACGAACTGCAAAACGCTGTATATTTGTGTGGTTATTACATGAAAAATATGTGTTAGATTCCTTGGATATGAAACAGGATTTGAGGTTTTAATGGGGGTGCGTCTTCTGGGTTGTAGCGCCGTGTAGACTAATAGAAATTTACCGACGTTTCAGAGGTACTTCCTGCCTTTATCATCAGGGAGATCAAACGTAGGTTGGCGAACTTGATTTGTGATGCTTTGTACTAACGTGTTGTGTTGTGAGTTCCGGATTGCAGGTCGTCGCTTATTGGTCAGGTGATGAATTTGATACGAACGCGGTTAATCTTTGTCATTGAGAAAAGTTTGTGCATTTGTAAATTGTCAATATAATGGACGAGTCAGAAGACTCTTTGGTTGTTAATTCGAAGGATGATTCGTCAGGTAAAGATGCGGAACATATTCAAGAAGAAAATGAACAAGAAGAGGAAAAGTCAGAAAAGATTTTGAGATTGCCTTTCGCAAGAGTAAGACACATAATGAAAATTGATCCAGATGTTCATCACGCTAGTCAAGAAGCAGTATTCCTCATTACGAAGTCAACAGTAAGTGTTTGGAAATGTTTAAGCATTTTAAGATCATGTACTGCTAACACAATTTCTTCAATAAATTTTCTTCACATCAACAGTTTTCTTTTCTAATAGTCATCTGATGAACGTAAAAATATGAGTTGATTTAATTCAGAAACTTTTTAAAATTGTCAAGTCAAACTGATAAGGATATGGAAGATATTAGGCCCTTTATTTTTAATTAAAGAACCTCACAAACTATCCACCATTTCACCACCATTGCATACATAGTGGCTTTATTGGTGAAAACCTGGGAATATAAGCAAGATGATTATCTTGTAATCTTGTAATGAAATTCAGACATGAGACCAGTGTTAAGCCATTATATAAGTACTGTTTCATACCGATAAACATGTTCCTGAAATGCAGATAAATGTCATGACTTTTCTTATTTATTTATGTGGTTGAGAGATCTGTACAGAGGCTGTGTCCACTTAATAGTAGAGACATGGCATTAACACGTTTATATTTGTATGCACTTAGACTATAAAGGTGAATGTATAAGGGGATATTTGTCTTATCCGCAATTCATTTGCCAAAATCACTCGATGAATGTGGAAGAAATTCATAGTAAATTCCACAAATTCCATCAACACAAATTAAATATGTGACTTTTTTCCTGCTAATGACTTCCTGTGTATAAATCAAATACATAATGGGTGATAATTATTACAGTTGTAATTCCTTATTGTATATGTTTCAGGAACTTTTCATAGAGTCCCTTGCTAAGGAAGCTTACGCACATACAGCACAAGGCAAACGGAGAACTCTTCAAAAGAAAGATTTAGACAGTGCAATAGAGTCTGCAGATTGCCTTGCCTTCTTAGAGGGAGTGCTTGATACATGAATTTGAAGCACATAAAATGTCCATGTTATTGATAACAATGAATACCTTGTCATAATTCATAATGGAATAATTTGTTGTTTTTTTCTAGACTAATACATATTTGAAGTTGTGTAAAATAAAATATAATAAAGATATACATATTCATAAGAAAGTGATGTTTTAAAATCTTATTTTATTATACTGACTGTATGATCCTGGATAGCTGTCACTACAGTGCCTGATTATGGGTGGGATGACAAATTTCTGGTTCTGCATATACATAGCCCAAGGCCAAGGAATTTGAAGGTTAATGTATGTCATATGGTTCTGAAATTTGAAAAACAGAAATACTGTGCAATAGAAATGATAAATGCTATTCAGTAAAACCTGCCTAGACAGGAACATGGATTGAAGATAAATACCTTCATCAGAAAACTTTTAATTACACTTAACAAAAATGGAAACTTTCTGTGGAATTAGCTCCATGGGGTAGAGTCCTTCAGAAGCTAACTATGCTCAGCTAGTCATGAAATTGTTTCTTGTATAACTCAAGATTCATTACCATGTTCACAAGAGTCCACCTCCTGTCTGTCCTGATCCAGTTTAATACAATTCATACCCTTTACCCCCGATCCATACAGTTTGTCAGGATAACCTAAAGAAAAAAGACCACTTAGGAGACTGAGGGTGTAGATAGTATGGCAGTATTAAGCACCTGAAGAAACAGGTGAGCGTGTAGACAGGATTCCACTGGCACAGAATAAGGTTCAGTGGTCTGCTCTTAGAATCTTCCACTTGCATAAAAGGGAATTTTTTACGAGTGACTATTCTTGAGGACTCTGTGGTGTGAGTCATATTTTATATTACACTATCGTATGTGGAATTTATCCCACAAGGAACACTCCTATCACAGCTGGGAAAGAAATATGATCAAATATAGGTAGAATATTTTAAATACTTTCTCATGATCAATGCTATGCATGGATTAATGGCATGATTTGAGTCATAAAGACAGTGGGTAAGTAGTACATAATAGTGTTAAACTAAGAATTCATTTCTATGGATTCTGTTATAAGCAGGATTTATCTATTAATTAAGTGGAGGAAAATTGTTCATTATGATGTTTTTATACATTTTATTTTCGGCAATATACAGACAATGTTTAATGGACTGGAATGTGATTTTCCATAAATTTCTCATAAAGAACTGCATTTGGTTGCGTAATTATGAGTTTTCTATTGAACATACAAGCAAGATATTGAATTTGCTGTTAACTGTTCAACATTGACATAATCCATGTTCTTTAACATCATTGTAACACTTTGCTCCGGTAACAGCCTGTTCTTATGGAATAAATTTACTCATATTAAAATATTAAAGAAAGTCAACTTTGTGTACTACCATACAAAAAGTTAATACAAGAATATAAGTAATATTGAAACCAAAATATAAACCTTATATTGCTTCATGTTTCACGAGTGTTTGAAATACACTAAAATCCCCATTTAATGTTTCTTTGAGGGGCAGTAGATTTGAACACCAAACTTTAACCCTCTGCCATGCTACAAAATTCACTGTAACCCGATGCTGTCAGACCAGTTAATTTAAGTGCCTTTCATGCACTACACTTTAGTATATTATATCTGGTAAAAGATATATATAGTTATGACATGTTACTGCAATAGGCATGACAAATGGAGCAAACTTTACAGCGAGAGAACCATAGAAATTGACCTTCAAATGATATGGGAAAGCTGTCTCTGGTGTTTAACTAAGCATCATGCCATGAAGACATATGGGTGGCATTTAGGTATAGCTCCACACATTATCTTCGGTAATAGACAGAGGTAAGGGGTTAAGTTCATACCTCAGCCATTTCACCCCCACGGAAGGCTGAATGGGATCTCAAAGCCAGTCTGAATGTTGAAAAGAGAAAAATCTTACTTTGCAGGAATCAAACACGACTCATTCAGCCTGGCTTCCATTTTAAAAAGAGCAAATCTTAAATTCAGGAACATTAAGTGGGGATTCCATTATACTTAAAAGACTTGTGTCATTTATTTATTCAGTACACACACACTACATATAACTATGTATTCAGAAACACTCACCTTGATGGCTCCTTCCCATATAATTCACTTATTCCACTGCCATTCCAGATACTATATATTAAATGATCTGGCAAAAAGGATGTTACAGTTTGAACAAATGAAAATAGTATATTCATTTTGTTTGTTGTACATTTCTTTTTTAAAGCGCATTAAATGACTTTCAGGTTCATTTTTAAGGGACACAGCATACAACTCACATACTTTATTTAATATATAGTTAACTGTTTCAACCCTTTCAACGTTGCCCTATGATAGATCAGCCATCTGCTCTGAGTCTTGTGGAAATAGCTACCAGCTCGTCAATATGAATTCAATTACAGCTGCTTATCACAAAGAGATTAGAATAGGAAGACAACACTGCAAAGCGCGACTCTTCCCGGTTATAACAGATGTCATATGAATATAATATTCGGAGCAGGACATGTTACAGTGCTTGAAATACATACTTGAGCTAACAAAGTGTAGTTAGTCTGTGTAGACCTAGTATGTACAATTAACACTAAAAGGGTTAATATACATAGAAATCATGAGACTATTATTAGCAACTGTAGTGTATACTTGGATAATGAATAACTTGAGTTTAACTTCAAAAGGTCAATAAAAGTAATTTTGTAATTATTGGAAAGATATTTATATTAAGTAAAATGAAATAAAAATGCAAATAAAATTAACTGTTGGAAAATGTAATGTTTCTATCACGTCAAATGAAACAAAAGACACTAGAATAATAATAATAAAAAAATCTTCCATCCTTTCACGTGAAGGCAGATAACCACAACTTATTCACAAAGACGTTCAATTTAAAACACAACCCAAACTACTACACACAAAATTAAAGCAATGTCAATATTGAAATATTGCAACCATATTGCATTGCTGTAGCTGATACAGTGCCTTCAGTTGGTACAACTGTAATCTAAGCTGTTTTGTTGCTCAATGCGCACTTGTCACAGACAAACACTTCCTGTGTCCTGAAATGTTATTAGTGCTTGGTGTATCGTCTTATTCAGCAATTCTTTGTCAGGATACGAGTTACTCTGTGCAGCTTTCGCATAACTGGTGCGAGGAGCAGGCTAGTAACCAAGTTGATCTTGACACAATTGTCACGGGGAGGTTCGTAATCTGTTACATGGATATGTACGCACTTCTGATTTCATTTTTATATAGTAGTATTTGACTGTCGTAAGGCTGTGTTTTAAATGATACTCTTTGTATATTACTACAAGCATAGAATCTGTACAATACGTAACTTCTTTCCTACAGTTCTATACTTAATTTTTGAGACTGAATGTCAGACGTATCTCAAGACAGCAGAAACATCTTAAAATAAAAAATAAATGAGAAATGAAACCCTAAAATCCTACTACTATTCTTATATCCTATCAATACTTAGTAAAAACATGCACCATGTAACGTATGCATGTCAAGGAGAATAAATTACAGTAAAATTTGCATTTGTTCTTCAGGAGGATAATGAATATGAATTGAATAAATTTAATAGTAAGATAACTGGACTAATACCACAAAAATTAAACTTTAAATTAGGGATAAACACATTATGAAATTTCATTTTTTTCATGATGACACTTACTGCACAAGTGTCAGACTCTACTACAGTCACATTTTTAGGAGTGCTTCCACAAATCTTTTAACCCCTCAGGAAAGAATTGGTCCCACAAATATTTGGACTCCCCCGAGACCATACAAGAGTGAATAAGGAGCAGAGGTGGAATGATACTGACATGGTAAAACTAAGGACTTGGAGGAACAACTGTCCTAGTGCCACTTTATCTACTAAAAATCTTACATGGACTGCCCTCAGAGCAAACCTGGGTGGAGCTGGTAACGAACTGTCTAAGCTATGTCATGACCTCCTTCATATATGTACTGTAATTTCTACAGATATACAACAAAATTTAATTTCAGATTTACTTTATGTAATTGAAATAACAGACAAAAAGAGTCCAGCTGTCTTACTTTAAATCTCCGCACCTGAGATACAAATGTGACTTAGCAATGAATAAATATGGCAGTTATAAAAATGAAAAGTCAGCATGTACTTTAAGCATGTGACATATTTTGTGTTATAAAGATTTAATCAAATCAAAAATAATATAGGAAATCTGATAGAACACAGTATTTCTGGGTACAAACATATTCTAAGGCAGCTTCAATAAGATTTGACGGTATAGGTGCGTAGGTGTCTGTAACATTCAGACTTCCTGTATCTCTGATATATTCTCATTTTACAATGTTAATTATTAATGGTATCCACCTAAAAATTCTGCAAATCACTGCACAATATTAAAATCCACTTTCAAGACATACAGCAGTGTTTTTCTGTATAAATATATGAAACCCGCAGAGAAAAATGATGCTTAATCCTCAAAACCACATCTGATCTTCACCTGCTCATACCAAGAACCAAAGAGTTGTTATAAAAATCGTTATAAATAAGGGTGGGGTGGGTGTCTGTGAATCTATTAAATAGTTTCATACTACTGCATAGTTTCAAATAATGTGTTCCAGAGCAGCAGTAGCCGAATTACTTCTTGCTAATACCATGATAATATTCCTACAAGTTCTAATCACTTTTTGCGTTTGCCTTTCCTACGATTTCGTCCCTGATCGGAGTATCCTCCTTCTGCAGTGCCTACTCCACTTCCACCTGACTGGCTGTAAAGGTTATTGAGAAAGTCTTCCAAATCAGGTTCACTGAAAGAAATTAAAAACATACAAGAACATTTCCCATCTAATAAAAGTTTCAAACATACTATCAAAGAAATTACAAGATCAAATCAGATGTCAATGTTCTGAGTTTTAACTTTTAAAATAACTGTGGTATGCAGTGCTTTTAAACCTTCCTGACTAAAACATTTGCAAAACAGGATGTCATTAATTACTCGTTACAAGAAATACAAAAAAAATATATTTAAGTCAGGTACAGTGGTGGTCCTGCCGAACAAATTTATACAAAAATGACATTAAAAATTAACTTCAGGGATTAACAACAATACCAAATTTAGTCAAATTTTGTTTATTCAACAGTGCTGTTAACATACTGTTTAAAAACATGCCTAAATATGATATTTAAACATGAGACTGTATTTTGCAAGATGGTATGAATTTTCACCAATTTATTCAAAAGGAAAAATTCATGAAGCATTGATAGGAAGGAATTTGAATAAGGGAACAGACTGATACAGTTACACAGTTCCAATAGGAGAACAACGGAAGCGTGAAAATGGGAAAACCATGAAGAGAGATTTTTCATTTGTATTATTAGATTTATATAATATAAATCTAGAGATACATTTGCAAAGTTACTGATATAAATGATAAAGATATGACTGAAAACCTAAATAGTGAACACTAAAGGGCGACCAACCATGAACCAGACATTATGTATCAATATGTAATATGTGCTCCATAATATAAACAGGATACAGAAGGAAGTGGCCAGACGCAGTTTCAAGTACTGTCCCAGCATTTTTAAAAAAGAACTGATAAAAACCACGAATAACATCAATCAGGACAGCCTGTCTGCAGGCTGGGGTTTGAATGTGGGACCTCATAAATATGAAGCATGAGTGACAGCCAGTCCGCTGCAATGTTCAGTGCTTACC